CTGGTCTGAGCCATGTTGGTAGATGCAGACTACCTGGTTGGGGTCCGCGTGACTATCGTAATTAATGGTTGGAGACTCTGGGTGACATGGCTCAGAATCGATCACAATGGCGTAGGTGTATTCACTCTTTATCTCCCCTTAAACCTAGAGATCAAAATTGCTTCATAACGTTTTTCCTTCCTATACTATATCCTTATATACAACCTTTCTTTATATACTACCACCACTAAATTAATTACTTCTATGAATCCGGTGTTCATCTTGTTGTGCTAACGAGGTATGGCAACTTGGACCGATGCATATATGTGCCTGGTCCTACGTTGTAGCTGACTGGCCTACTGACACTCTTTATCTCCCCTTAAACCTTGAGATTAAAATTGCTTCATAACTTTTTTCCTTCCTATACTATATCCTTATATACAATCTTTTATATATCACTACTGTTTAAGTAACTACTCCTATGAATTTTGTAGTCATCTTGGTGTACGAATTAGGTGTGGCAACTTTGACCAATGAATTTATATGCCTAGTCCTATGTTGTAGCTGACTGGCTGACTGACACCATTGTAGTATGAAATAGCTCATCTTAAACTGAATTTGAACAGAGTTAAGCCAGATCTTATTGTTTGTGTTAGTGTTTTAACACTTGAACTATTGGGAAATAAAGTTTATTCATAACAATGTATTTTTAGTACACGAATTCATGAAAGTAAAGTTATAATTAAATTTTCTAGTCTATGAACAATAGCTTCAAATAATAATCAAAAGCTTAACAACCTAATGTATTGAACTCAATGGAACTTTTGTCACTGATTAAAACTGTACATCCGAAACCAAATCATGAGAATTATAAGAAGGAGGGAAAGTTGGATAAAGTAATAATCATATATAATGTATGTGACACAACTAATTAAAACACTATTATGCAGTATATCCATTTGAAATGATGTATTAGATTCTTCTATACAGCTACTTATTTTTATTGTTCCCAAACTTGACCTACTACCTACTTACTGATGTTCTAACTTGTGGTTTTTTGTTGAGAAATATTATTACTTTAAATGACATACTATATTGTAGTGTTGATTTATAAAATGTTTCCTTTGCTAATTCTGATATTTATCACTGACGTGTCTATCAATCTTTTTTTCTAATTATTGAACAGCGACTTCATTCCATAGAAATTGGATTTATGATCCAAGTTGAGTAGATAATTTGATCAATTACTGTATCAATGGGATATCTCTTATTTAAGAAACAAGTTAAGTTTAAATAAATTTCAATGAAATGAAAATTCAGATTACATAGATGTTGAGGAAAGCGTCATATATACAAATGTGGTATGAGATAGGTCCAATTGACTTTCATGGGAAGTTAAGTACTGATTAAATTTACTTTGTTCACATATAAATATACACTAATACGGAATAAAATGTATTCACTATCATTACATTGTTTATATATATATATATATAAACATTGTTATTCATCATATTGTTCGGAGAAGTAGTTTATGCATGTTCAGTGTGTAGTTACCAATCAGACAAACCATAATTCATCTGCTGACTACTTAATGAAGCTGGTATATTTTTTACGATCGCCTAAAAATATTTATTTGCATTTACAGTAATAAAACTATTGGTTACAGCAGCATAAGTCAATCATAGATACTGTACTCGCTATAATACACAAGTATTTTGTGTTAGATGTCGTGTGAGCCTGTTAGAGTACATTTTCAAGGAGTCTCGGGGTGGTATGGTTCAACTTTGGGTACTAACTATTTTAGCATGGTTCTCCAAGCACTAGATGTCCTTAATGAAGATTATGTTTAGTTTCATTATACTCAGTTTTTTAGAAACTTACAGCGATACCTCATTTCAAAATATGTAAGATTGTCTATTTAAATAAGTTTTTCCGATTTAGCACTACCAAGCTGAATATGTATGTCACGTAACTCGTTTTGCTCTTTCTGTGTACTGTATAATCAGTCACTATCAAGTGTGAAGCATGAAACGACATAGTATCGGTTCAAGTCTCTATACTTTAAAGAAACATGCAACAGAGATTAACATGAAGAGAAGCAAAATAGATATATTAGTGTCGAAAATTACATAAAGGCAAACATTAGAAATATGGTTCCTAATGAGCGAGTGGGTTTAAGTAACATTAAAAATAGACAGTTGCTAAATTCAGAATTCTAAGAAGCATAGAGAAAGGATAGATCTGGCTCACCGCGATCGATTTGTGGCCATTTCATCATCGTGCCTGAATATCAGAAATCTGTATAATCTTGCTCATGAACCTCCTAATAATATTGACATAAAAAGATTGTTTATACGTAACATAAAATTAAAAGTTATGAACTTGACATCGTTGTACTTATGTTTTCATTCAGTATTATGATATCAAGCAAACAATATGCTAATGCAATATATCATTAACTCACTATTTATAAAATTTTAGTAATTTAAATATGTTCGTTATAACATTTGCATTCATGTAAACTTGTTATTTTGAGAACCAAAAAGATGTTTCATCCTAAACTATTCACTTAAAATTTTATGACAGAGGACATATTGTTTTCGGAAGTTTTAATAGGCCAGTCACAAAAAGTTTGGGACATTGTAAAAGAATACTTCAATCCTAATAGCCACAAAATCAACATTAACAAAGTTAGATGAAAATCGAGAAGTCGAAATAAAATGGCAGTTTCAGTGTTAGTAGTTTAGAATTTTCAGCTCATTTACTCAGCACATTTTAGATATAATACCGATTAATAGAATCAGGATACATACAGTTATGTGACTTATCAATAAATGAAAGTAATCTGATAACTGTTTCGAAGTGATGTGTCACTAGCCACTTTTATCATACTGTAGAACCAATTAGTAGGTAAGAGAAATAAATAAAGGAAACCAAATGTCAGGCAGTTGTAGGTAGTCGGCAGGAAACTGTGGACCTAGGTTTTATACTAGCTGGTACTCTTCAGAAAGACGTATTTGTAATTTTGGGGAACTGATGCTTCTTAAGAAACTCAAATTTATGTCACCCGAATTCGCAGTCTGAGAAGTTGCCTAATAGCTATCGGGACTATGAACAACTTACGGGTCTAAGCAGTTTACAACTGATTGATTAATGAGAAATGACAATTGTTATGCTTGTTTAGTACTTTAAGTACCGATCGAATTATATCAAACAAGCTGCTATGTCATCACTAGTATCATACGTAATGTGTTGAAAAGCGTTTATAATTGTCATGAAATTGTCCATAAATGGGAAAATGATCTAGCCAGAAAGAATTCTTTGATGAGATTATATGTAGCGAGAAATGAAAACATTCATCAATTATGAATAAAGAAATTAATTCATTTAGACATTCAATTCTGCTTAATTTTATGTTACATAATTTCTATGGCCTACTAATTATTACATGTAAAATGTATATTTTAGTATAACAAAAATCAAACAGTCAAACATAGTAAACTGTTAAACAGTTTAATTGTTTGCCTTATTAGCCAAATCAAGTAATATTAATGTGTTCATAAATTTCAGCTTGTTAGCTTATAATATTAGTAAAGTATAAAATCACACAGAAATTTCTATTTCTGAAGGTCTCAGTTTATTTTTTTAAGCTAAAATTTACTATTTGAGTAACTAATCTTTATTTGGATCACAAGCAAGAAGTCAATGATTTCCTCTACAAACTGTGATAACAATCACTGACTTCATCAATTAGTTCTATTTCTATGTTCTACTATGCTTCTAAAATTAACTAGTAGAAAAAAATTGAGGTCGATTGTTGTTAATGCTGTATTGTACATTTTTCTACAGATGTAGACAATTAAATCTACTAACTTCATCACTTTGCTCTCGAAATCCAAAGTCATTATTCTTATCCCAAGATTCCACAGTACTCGAAAGAGAGATCGGTGTTTGAATATATTTGTTTTTCGTGTCCCACTATCAAAAGCAGTTTATATTGTATTTGGAACCAACATAACTTCATGATAGGTTCTACATTAATACCATGGTTAGATGTAATGATATAGTTCTATAATATTTACTCATTATTTTCTATCTATCTATCTATCTATCCAGGAAGAGCCAAAATCATTTGGAGAAATCGGAAAAATTATGTAAAAAAACTGATGATAAATTATCAATAAGCGTTGGTGTAATCATTTTCAATTTACATTAATAATACTATCAACATTTATCGATGCTTAACAGTGTAGGATGTAACACCATTCTTCAATTTATAATCCTTTCTCCTTAAATTGATTTAATCCGAGAAGTAAAAAGTTGTAAACAACTTTTTTCTACAATACGTGAACCAAAAATAACTAGATAAAATAAGAAATGTATAAGATGTAGGAAACGAAATGTGGCATGGCAACTGGATGATCTTTTATATATTCCAGTTAGGAATGAAGTTCATTTGGTTAAATGTTTATTTCTATGGTTTTGTGTGTGATTAGTTATCACCATTGATATAACCTGATACTACATTTCGTGAGTGTTATTCAGTCTGGTTCGAGGCATATAAACTTTTGCAATCACAGTAAAGTGCATTTATTTAGAATTCCCTCACCCCTCTAATTGATGACAAATGTCATTCGGTTTACCTAATATGATTACTATTCACTGGGTTTTTTATTTTCGACCTGAAATTGGCGTCTTAGATTATTATTTTAGTGCAGTACTATAACTTTTTTCACACCCATATTGATAACCCCTACAAACATAAATTTATCGAATACAACAATATATATATATATATATATATATATATATATATATATATATATATATATATATATATATATATATTGATCCGAACAAATATCGAGCCCTATTATGATGACCTACATCAGCCAAGTTCATTTTATTCTTGTTTAGGTTTACTATGATAAAGTCGACATTATTTTGGTTTAGATAAGAAACGGTACAACTTGTTCATTTCAACATCACACAAAACGTTAATGTATTTTGTCACTCACTAAAATATTTTTCAGGACAACTTTTGAGTTTCGTTTATTGACAAATTCACTGAATTTACGGGCATGCTCCAATTCTTCGTTTGCACTTTCACGGAAAAATTTCGCGAAACCTGACAATCCAACCTCTGGCCTAGATAGGTAAGACGCCTACAGTTGGAGTGGAAAGATGGAAAAGTGGATTAATGCCATTTCATAAATTTTTATATCTAGAAATTAATTAATGAACATCAAAGTAAATGAAATCGCTGGTGTTTAACGACATGGAGATATGTGAAAGGAATTAGATTTATACATCACTTTCCCACTGAAGAATTTCACTAAGCTATTCACAACCAGAAACTTCTAGAAAACACGAATTCCTCTGTTCTCTCAAAATTTCTCACGAATTGTACAAAACATATATAAAATAAAAGTGGTAGAGATGATTTATTGCTAAAATAGGTGCTTCATTTTGTAATAAGCGCTATTGATATTGTATCGAACAACAATGAAGGCTTTACAATCAAATCATCTAGCTAAGAGAACACAAAATCAATGAAGTACTTATAAACCTAATAAATTATGATCCCTATCTTTTGTGCTAACACGAACAAAATGATTGGCAGATATTACCAATGTTACAACTGGTAGTTGTGAAAGGTTTTTGATCTACTAACGGAATAAGGAAAAAATTTTCAAGTGCTGTTGTACACACGAGGGTAGTTGTCACATCCCGCTCGCACACGCAGTGGTGTTCTTCTTCTGGAACCATCTAAAACAGAAACTGGTTTAAGAATTGGCCTTGACACTTTGGGAGCATGACCATGGTTCTCGAGAGATAACTACTTGAAGGTGGTCACATAAAGCCATTTCTTGAGAGTAGTTTTAGACGAATTGACTCATTATTTTTGAGGCTTTACAGTTAGCGACGGAACTCTTTCTGATAAGGTAAGATGCTTCATTTTTGAATCGAGCTTTCCTAAATGCCCCTTTGTCTTGCGGTAAAACAAAGTAGCCGCAGACACTGGTTGTTTTAGGTAACTGACTTACTGCTACCAGTCTTTTATACAGTCGGTGGTGTGATTACGCCCACAAAACATGATTTTGTTGCTTTCAGTCTTATCACTGTTCAGTTAACTTGCGTAACATGAGCTATATGTTGCAACCAATACAGCTCTACTGTATCACCACAAATATGCAAGCCCGACCGCCATGTCAAGGCAGGAGTTATGGTCAAGATTCTTAACATTTTTAATCATGAAATAGTCATTACTTAGTTACATCTGTTATAAGAACTACTCCATTACACATCAACAAAGAGTCACCACGTTTATTTTGTATCACTCTTTTCAAAAAAGTGTTATTTCTTGAGTAAACTAACTGAATCTATCAGCTGGCAATTTTTCCCAAAAATGATAGAATTTTAAATCAATCTTTATTAATTCGATTTATCGTTTTAAGGTGTATTACATTAATAATGTTATGTAAGCAAAATTTTATGAATTTCATATCTGTGCAAAGTGATCGTGTATTATACAATAATAAAGAACTGTTATTTTAAATAATAATATTTTGTAGTAGTTTTCAATTTTATCCACTCACTCTGTGTAAATACAGTTACTAAGGATTGCATCATCATTATTTTTATAATGATAACATAATCAGAAGAGGTTTTGTGGATATTATAGTAATTTTTTTCTAATAGTTAAGATCATAAATCAATTGAAGCTAGACTACCATGAAAAACTAATTAACTTCCTTTATAAATCATCATTAGAGATTTTATTTTTCACCCCCTCCACTTATGATTAAAATATTTAATGTACGAGTGCACAATATCGTTTCAAATTCAAATTTTAAATTTTAAAATAAGAAAAATAACAAACACACATAAAAAAAACTTTGAATAGATTTGTTAACATGTGTTTATGTAGATAGATCTATTACGTTCTGAATGATGCAAAATATTGATTTTTTGAAAATAATAATAATTTTTATTATTATTATTCATATTTATGCTAAAAAAATATGAGTAATGATCATAAAATTTACTTTTAATCTTATTATATGAAACAATGAATTCGAGTTGAATTCACACGTGGTTAGTATGTAAACAGTAATATGTATATATATAAATATTGTATTAGTTAAATGGTGCATATTTGATTTGAGATTCATTTATTTACAGATAAATCCCAAATTTTTTGAAGGGCTTAAATTAAATTGGTTTACAATTTTTAATTTTTAATTCTTTATTCAACTTAAAAAATTGTACTTTTTTGAAAAAAAAAACTAAACTGTTTATAAAGCTTAAAACATACATTCTGTATAAAGTTACTAATGTATTAATAGTCTAGTTTCCAATTATAAATTACGAATTCAAATAGATTAGAAAGTTAAACTTCATCATATTTGTAACCAGATTTTTGAGTTCTTTTTTTTAAAAAATTGTTGTCAGAATTTTTGGAAACAGTAGTCCTCATAAATAGGAATAATATATTTGTAAAATCTCAGCGAATGAATTTTTTAAATTAAATCCAACGTTTCGCCTGGCAATCTGGTCCAAGCTTTTTCAAGGAATTATAATCAAACATCAAAATTATCGAATATAAATAGGTACATGGTTCTCCGGGTTCATTATACACTGAATAGGTCATCAAATCAACGTTAACGTTGGATTTAATTTAAAAAATTCATTCGCTGAGATTTTACAAATATCTTATTCCTATTTAATGTCTTACTTCAACTCGGCGCTCAAATACTGTGAAACTATTCGTTCTAATTTAGACGAGAGTTCTTATATAAGTAGTCCTCATATATCAACCAAAAATCGTTTTACGAATATGATCATATATTTCAATTTACATAGATAACGTAAAATCTTTATATAAAAATAAACTAGTTTGGTTTAACACAATTCACTAATTAAACCAAAAAGAAAGTCAAATGAAATAGAATATTATTGAGGTAAAGAAATGGTTTAAATTAGACAAATATTTAAAACCTGGAAGCACTGAATTACTGTTTCATTCTAATATGGGGCTCTTCAGAAGTGAGTATCCATGACCTCACCAGGGATCAGACATACAACTCCGTCTAGTAAAATGCTAATAAAGTAAACCAGAAGGATAGAGGCTGAGACGTTTGATAAATGTGTTAAGTTATGGAAGCATAAAACTGTTGAAAAGTTAACTACCAGAAGACTCAAACTACTAATTCCTATGAACATAAAGACTCCGTCAAGAAAGTTTAGTCATTTCCATACAACTCAGACTGGGGGTTTAGTTATCTAAATAAAGATTTTGTTGCATAAATTAGTTATTTTAATTATCCTTTCAGAGTAATCCTACTTCAGCTAATAGCGTAAGTTGCTTTCAATTGTTATTTGCAATCTAAATCCTCGAGGATATTTGTAATCTACAGCTGGAGTCCCATAAAATATTAATTCCTGAAGACCATGGCACACACCTGTTGCGTTGTACAAGACAAACTGTTAAACAGTCTATATGTTACTTGATAGTTAGTATTATATCACACTGAAGTATTTGCGTCAGTGTTCATTTTGACTTGTGTACGAATAAACGATACTTGAATTCATTTTATCTAAACTTACTATTGAATGTTGATATTATTTGAAGCGATTAATTAGTGACTGGCTTTTCTTTAATATCACTTTCCTTTTGGTTATTTTATTAAAATTCAGTTTTTACATTACGATTAGGTAATAAAGAGAATTAAGCATACCTTGAATTTAAGAGATATCTGATTGACAACATTAATTTTGTCTGTACATCGAAAATACAATATAAATAGTTCTAGATACATAATACTTTATCCTATAAATCAAGTAAACAGGGTGAAATCATTTGCTGTATTGTTAAATCTTCTCATCAGATTTTTCTACTGGAATACGACAAATATCATAGTGATGTATCTATTATAAAGAAGTACAATGTAAATGAACCTGAGTAATTGTTATTTGTAATTGAAAACGATATTTTACATAAATTATCTTCAGATCTACTTTTAAAACTAATAATAGTTACCATATTTAAATCAATCACATTTCAATTCCTTCTGAGAACAAATCGATGTGTAAGATTAGTATCTGAATCATTGACAAATATAATCTGTCAAGTAGTTAATAACATTTCGGTAGTATTTAGGAGAATTGAATGCCAACTGATTGTTTATGATGGATACTTTATGTAACAAGTACGGTGAACTATATGCATTAACATAGTAATCAGAGGAAGATTAAAAAGTTCGCATACAAGCCTAGTCAGAATTGTATCTATTTATTTTTCAAGTAATCACTACGACTTTTCTTCTCTCGTCCGATAAAGAATATCTATATTGAGATTTATGACATAATTATTCAACTGATAAAAAAATTACATACTGTTCATTTAAATGGTTATAAGATAAACCAATATCAATAAACTATATGTATATGTACTTCATATTGTAGGTTAAGACAAATAGTTTTATTTTTTTTTTAAATTACGATAGATCAGAAAATTTTGGACACTAATAGATAATAAATATTAGTAAAGTTATTAAATTGTAGATTTACAGTCGTTGATATTCCCTACCCCCTATTATAAGTATTTAGAAAGTCTCCCCTTCATCTACTAACATGGTAATTTTTAAGATGAATCAACTACGAGTAACAACTTGTTCAAATGTGATTTTGAGGTGTTTGTATAGTAACAGTTGTAGCGTTAATCTTTACTCTAATTAGTCTGTATACGTTGTTGTTCCTATCACTATTAGCGAAAGAAACCGTCGAGAATTTGAATTTCGTTTCCATCATTAATTACTTTATGATAAAACTCTATTTTAGGTGAATTAAAACGATCTATCAATAGGCAGATCATAAATTATCGCAATGACAATTGTAACACCAAGAATAACAAGTCTGTCTTGATCTACATGAACTAGATTTTTTCAAATACGATTCGGAAAATAAAAACCAGAGAATTCTGTCAACATTGGCACACTTACCATATGGTCATAAATATAAAAAGCCTCATATTCATTTAGAATTTGGTCATTTAACCCCTCTTCCACTTGGTTATCTAAAGCAATGGGGTCCTCAACTTCACCGTGAATTTGAATCGGAGCTAAAAATATGAAAGGAAAGTAATTTTTATTGATGTAATATAGCGAAAATGATGGTAAATTGAAATTGGTAACCTTTAAATAACACCGTCTACATTGATTGTTATCTCATATATGCAAATATGAACTAACTTTAAAGACTATTAAGTGAATATCTTGAGTCGCTGAATATTCTTCGTTCATATAACTGTGTTTGAATATCTTGAATGTTCGTATATTCATCGGGATTTTTTTTCGATAACAAGCAAATATTCGATGCTTTTAAATGGTAAACAGATGATTATTCTATGATTCATATTTAGTTATTAAAAACAAGATGTATGTTCATTGTCTAAAATTACTGCCATTCTCAATAGCTTTATGCAAATCTTCTTGATGTCTTGTATTGGTCAAGTATAAAAGTATGGTGTTCATACCTATTCTTAGTTTTTTCTGCCTTTAGTTTTAGAGGATAGTGTTTGAAAATTCAATAATGGATTTGTTTGATTGTACAGTTGATGTAAATAACTGACCAGAAGTAGTTAACTATTTAAAAATGAAGATAAATAATAATTTCCAACAAACAAACCTACTTTTTAACCAGACTGGTACAAAAATTCTGCCTACATATGAGATAGTTGTTTAAATTATCTTACGTAAATGTGTTTGTGGTATATATGTGCTAACTTCACTTCACGTTTTCTTAATATGAAAGTTACACGTAATTTTCTCTATGTACATTACTAAAATATGCCGTTAACATCACTGCTAATAAGGAGTTTGATAGATTGGATATTTTCATCCACGTTTCATAAGTTTAGTTATTATAATATATGTTAGTGTATAAGATAATAAAAGTAATGGGAATATTAAAAGTTATGGGGTTTGATTGGGATTGAAACAGACGTTAGTTTTCTTCGATATTTAAATAGAGAATCCATTTCATATTTGAATATACTTTATCTCTACAGTGAAAAAAAAGAGATGATTTATTTTAGTTTAAACTGATGCTATCTATTCAAACGAAACCTTCTACCTTACAACTCTAAAGGTTAATGAAAATGGGAAAACGTCTTAGGATTTCAATGTTTAGTCAAATGTTATTGTATAGAATACCTCATATTGAATAACAACTGTTCACTTGTTGTTCATTTTAGGCCAACAATTTATGAACTGTTCAAAAAAAGATACTTTCAAATTAACATGAAATACATTACACATGATGTTTAAAGTTTCACTTACCATACACAGCAAGAATCCAACTAGCAAATATTATCATCCACATCATGATCTTCATACAAATTGAATGAACCCTAATATAAATGAAATTTCTTCGAACAATTGCTTGTATAAATTGTAGTTAATGTTAACTAACTGTAAAGTTAAATTATTGTTTTACCTTGGAATTATATATATATATATATCAATGATTAAGAGTTAATATGTTTACTATTATATTGATAGATTATTAATATAAACAAATTTAAGTAATTCAATTGGTTTTATAAAATGAAATTATTTATTTAGTGGTTCCAATAATTTGTGTAAATAAATTTACTACAATGAATACATGAATTAAGGCCAGTAGTTCGAGTTTATTGGTTAGACTGGACAATTTTTATTCTATCATACAACTAATCTATAATAATAATATTTATAAAACATTTGTCTAGTATGAAAAACTTTCATATAATTTTATTTGCTTAGTATTTATTATTTTATGAAACTGAATTGTTACTTATTATTGCCAAGTTTCATGACCCAAAATATAACTTGTCATAGGAAATATTTTATTAATAATAACAGGTTAACTGAACACGGTGGATCTGATGCAGATATGGGGGCGAGGATCGGCAAAGCAAGAGTAGCATATTTACAATTGAAGAACATCTGGAACTCAAAACAATTGTCAACCAACACCAAGATCAGAATTTTCAATACGAATGTCAAGACAGTTTTACTGTATGGGACGGAAACCTGGCGAACTACGAAAGCCATCATCCAGAAGATACAGCTGTTTATCAACAGTTGTCTACGCAAGATACTTCAGATCCGTTGGCCAGACACTATTAGCAACAAGCTATTGTGAGAGAACAAACCAGATTTCAGTGGAGGAAGAAATCAGGAAGAAGCGCTGGATGTGGATAGGACACACATTGAGGAAATCACTCAACTGCGTCACAAGGCAAGGCCTCACATGGAGTCCTGAAGGCCAAAGGAGAAGAGGAAGACCAAAAAACACTGGAGGCAGACATGAGAAGAATGAACAAAAATTGGATAGAACTAGAAAGGAAGGCCCAGGACAGAGTGGGTTGGAGAATGCTGGTCGACGGCCTATGCTCCATTGGGAGTAACAGGCGTAAGTAAGTAAGTAATTCCTAATACAGTTAAGGTAATATACATTTGTGGCCACATACTAGTTTCTTTTCTGTTTCTGTTGTTTAAAGTATCCCTAGAAATACTAAGAAGTCAAGCTATTCAAAATACACTATATATTCGTGTTTTGTTGTTTACTATTTTCACAGTCAAACTTTTTAAATTCAATTCACCAACAATTATCCAAGCAGTTAGTCGATAATCGAAAAGTACAAAAAGCTTCACAAGTTTAGTGTTTTCATCGACGGTCGTCCGGTATTAGCATCGTCTTTGTAGTCTTCTCAGATATCACTGAATCACTTGATCATGTTGAAAACTGTTGTTCCCTTCAACATTTCAGTTCTATACACAGTTATTACTATATTCTGCATTTGATGAAATATTCTCTTAGATTCCATCATAAAATGTTACAAACCTCTTAGAGTTTTTGTTGAACAGACCACGTACTCACCTACTGATGAAAATATGAATATGAATAAGTGTCACTTTCATGACAAAATCTTCCAAATTACTAGTTTAGCCGAGCATTTTTATGTGCTTTTGGTTTCAATTAGTTTAATAACAACTAACTGTCTATAGTTTATTATGAGAGTTATACACAACACCTAGAGTTCGATATAAGTTGCAGAGTTATTTAATAAACAAGTCAATTTGTTAAACTAACAGAGTATTTTGATATTCGTTAGTTTTTACCTAACTACAGTTCAAACCTATTATTACTCTTCATATCAAACAGATTGTAATATCCAACTAAATTCATAGTCGATTGTCACTGTTTATCGATGTAGTTATTATTGATTGACTGATGAGAGATGAAGTTGTTGAATCGAATAGACAAAAACAATTATTTAGCAGCACAAATAACAATAAATCACAATACAGATTCAATTGTTTCAATGCCTTAGTTAACATCTTATATTGAATTATTTAAAAATTGCATTCATAGTTTTATATTCATATTTACCAGTTGGTAGCATAATTATTATAGAATTATTAAATATCGGACATTGTACGTACGATGCGTATTTCATTGACAACCCAGTGAACAGTCATAAGGGGATTTAATTAAACTATTTATATGTAATTATAATTATATATGTCCTAATGTTCGTCACGTAATGAATTACTCATGTAACAAGATGTTGTGTAGAGTCAATGATGAATATTTATGAGCATTATTAAAAAAGGACAGATTAAATACATTGATCGTTACTGTTTGTTGATATGGAAATTCTTCTTCACATACTTACTTAATTGATACTGACTAAGAAAGTATTATGTTAACTAATTTTTTTTATTTAGAAAGAGACAAAACGATCTTAGATATATGATTTTAACGGTTGATACAATAAACTTACATAGTATCGTTTTTTGAATCTTCCCATTGATGTTTAAGACTGCAACTAGTCAGTCTCTTATTGGCATATGTGCATCCTGTGTGTATTGCCTCGATATTGCCTTAATTCACAAGCATTATAAGCAAAGATGGATAGCGGCTCAGTAGCTGAGAGGATAACGCGACAGCGTTTGAAGCGAAAGGTACTGGGTTCGAGTCCCACAGTGAACATCAACTCTGAGATGCAGGAACATCCAGCTGACGAGTCCCAAAATAGGACGAAACGCATGTTCTGGATTCCACTGCTAGCCACTATCCATTTTTGCTTATAATGGTTGATATAATAGCTATGAGATGACGGAAATTTTCATGCTTTTACTTAAAAAATTATTATTATTCATGCTAATATAAGTTACTAAATATTAAAATAGACTTCAAACTAAGATTTCCAATTCATATGTGGATACTGCCGAGAAGTTTCAAAACGGCTCATATCGATAGTCAGATTTTTCTGCTTTGCAAATAACAAAAAGTGTCTATCTTATGTTCGAGGCTTATGTTTAGGAACAAATATGCGGAGCTGACTTTTTGATTAGTGGACCCAATTTTAATTAAACTGTAAAAATTCGATATGGCTCTCCCAATATTAAAGATACATGATTATTAGCTGTTAATTTTGTTTATCCCGGAGTATTTTTGACCTATTACTTACGAATATCAGGCAGCAAAATAATTTAGCCACTTAAACTGAGTTCAACATCATATTTGCGTGTTTATTATACTAAACGTTGATTGGTGCGTTTTTCGGGGATTATTTGGATAGGTCACTCAATCGATAAGAATTAATTCAAAGTGTGGCTCTAGATTGTGTCGTCTCTCCTCCCCATCCGATAAAATGATCGACCAATGAATAATATGTCAAACCAATAAAATTGTTACGTTTATTATTTAAAAATCACTTTATGGTCTTCAGATTTAACGAAATTGCTTTTATTAATGGATCTAGATTGTACAACCAGTTCATCAGTTTCCGACTCACAGTCAAATGAACATACTGTCGAATCAAGTCCAACAGTATTAGGCTATGAAAATACTATAAGATCACCAACAAGAGTCGAACATTACTCCGATCTATATGATAACAGATCAAATAAAATTGCCACAGAAGACCCTAGAAATAATTTGGAGTCGTCAGTAAATGAAAGTGGCTACAGTTCCTATTGGTAAGTTAGTCTATGTCACTATTTTAAGATACCTAGTGAATTGTATTTGGAACATAAAATGTTTGTATGTATTACTGCCTAGTTTGAATTTAGTATATTAACAGTCTCATACACAATAACCTTATTCAGGACGTTTTTTCAAAAATGTCACTGAAAATAATTTGAGGACTGATGTATTTGAAATGAATTTAGCAAGATATACTGCTATAACATATATTCACCGGGGTCTATTTCAATAATGATTGACTGACTAGCGTCACTAAGTCATCATTTCATAATTTGAAGCGTATGTCAATATTCTACCGACATCAATCTAATGTAGATATCATCCAGTCGTGAGCTAAAAATATTTTCAATTGAAACCTTATGCACATAAAATGAATAACATAAAATTTACTACAACTTTTCAATGAAAATCCATTAAGGAAACCAGGACAGTGAATAAAAATTTCAAAATCTGTGTCATTTAAGCTCAGAGGAATTTTAAGTCTATAGATTTTCAATGAAACAAATTATTCTCCACAATTAATGTGGTTAAGTTTCGGTTGGTAAAATTTTAACTTTCAAACACTTTATATCATAAAATTGATAAAAATTGAGTTTACTGTGTAGATGAAATCTAGAGGTATGTGCCTCTGTTAAATGTTTTGAATGATGAGTTTAATATCCAGTGTCGTTGTGACAGGAAAACTATTGTTAGATATCATGATTCATATTGCATATATATATATATACCTTTTAACTACCATTCTGTGTTGATGAATAAAGTAGAAATAAATTATTCAATCCTGATGACTTACGTAATTGTAGTCTTTCTATCGTTTGCCACACGTGGTACTATTTCGTCTGTATGAAAAATTATAAACTTTCTCTACAATATATATTGATGAAATATTTCAAATTTTTGAGCGGATCAATACTATTTGGAAATTTCTGTAGATCGTTACATGCTATTATGCACGTTATGTACTATGCATGTATATTTGTACACTTTAACTTTATTTCTTTATTCCTTTTTTCAACTTTGAAGCAACTATAGTTACGTATCAACTGAAGATGTACTTACTAAACCTGAAGAAAGTGAAAATCAGTTTTGCATCGATGCATGTCATTCGATTTATACGGCTCCATATGTGCCAGAGAACTTAACTAACAACACTTGTCGTCATGTAGAATTTACAAGTGACAATAACGAGACAGTAAGCGCAGTAGCATCCATAGTTAATCATGGTGTGAATTCTTGCAGTTACATCCCTGTTTCTAATATGATAACTACTGTTATCAATCACAATTATACACCAACAGTTGCAAGTGAATTCACCAAAAATTTTAACTACCAGTGTGACACAATATCAACCCCAGATGCAACAAAGAAAAATGATGATCAAATAAACTTCAAAAGTGATCCTGATACCTTTTGGATTAGTCAGCGTGGTGACCTTCAAAAGTCAGTTAGCAGAAGAACTGATTATCTATCAAGTGATAAACAAAATGTATTAGACGATTACATGGAAAGTGGGAACATTCCTACTTCTACAGACCAACAATGTTTGCAGCCACAGGTGTGTTTAAACAATTATCACGTTAAAGAGGACGAATCTAAGCCGTCGTATAATTCAAGTTATCCTGAATACGCATGCAACATAATGAATACACGTTCTCAACATTACACGACAAAGGATTTTAATTATGCCAGTTCTCAGAATTCTGTGATAGACTGTATCTCATCATACCAAGATAGTTCTCAGTCTTCTGAGAGCGTCAGTTCTTATGTTAAAGGGCCATCCTTTTATTCTCAAACTCAAAACATCTATTGGCCTTGGATTGACAGATTTTACGCCGAAAATTGTGCTTCGAAATTAGGTTCAGTTTATAATTCAGATATTACATCTAAGGGACTAATTAACTACACAAATTCATTCTCTTGTAATCCAAGCTTTGGACATCCCTACAATTCACAATCTTTATTCGTCAGTGGTTCTAATCTCTCATACATTAGTGAAAAGCCAAATGAACAGTCTCAGTCTTCGAAACTTTCAGCAGTAAATTTATGTGCAGGAGAAACTGTGTCTGCGTTTCATTCCATTGCTCAAATGTCGAGTGATTACTCCGGGACATCTGTGGTTGCCGGTAATGTACCAAATATAATTTTGATGAACTCACAAAGCAGTGATGATTTTTCAGCTCAGTCTGCCGATAGTCGTAAAGAATCTCAAGAAGATGAGAATAGCTTTAATCATGGTGAAAACTCTTGGCAACCAGTACTGAGTTCTGTTCAATGTTCGTCACGCAAAAGATTGACAGATAAACAGAGAAAAACTGTATGTGTTTCGATTCTCAACGAAAATCGTACTGAAAACTCAAATATTCCTCAAGATGAAACTACCCACAATTCCTCGACGTCCTTTGATATTTCAAGCCTTCACCGAGAAAATGAAATTAGTTTAGACCAATCAATCTCTGGAAATAGCTATGCATGGGCGTCAAAAAGTGATAAACTGAAATTGACTTCCCGTTTAAGATCAAAAAGATATTCCGACGCAATCAATTTAACACGAAATAGACCATTAAATCAAACTGCATTGAGTGTGATGGAAAGTTGGTATACAAATCATGTAGATAACCCATATCCTACAACTGCGGAGAAAGAAGAATTAGCTGCACTTGGTGGAATAACAGTCATTCAAGTATGTTATTTCTATAAATTGATAGTCAGTTGTGAAACATGTTATCTGGTAACTTCTTTATATTTTTCGTAATGATATCTAATTTATTTGTGTGGTAGCTCTAGGCCAGTAAGTTTTTAAAAATTGACATTTTGGTTTTTTCATATAATTTTTTTCAAGATAATTCAGGAATTAACTTTTTCATGAAATTTGTTTCCTCTAGAAATTTGACTTGTCAGAACAACAATAAATATATTTGTCAAACGTTAGGCAAAGTTTATTACGAATATGTGTCTTTTAGTTATAGCTCTAAATGGTCTTTAAATAATTTTTTTCTTGATAATTTACGATGAGATGTATTTGAAAGTCTTTTTTCTGAAGTTGTTTTTCCGGATGACTGTTTAGAGCGTGAGTCACAAGTATGTTATAGTTTGTGTCGTAAATTGAAATGTACTGGAAAACTTTTCAGTAAAAGCTTCCCGATATACACAAGAAATGAACATAATTGGGTGATTCAATTGTTTGCTATTACTATTCGTTCATGCACTTATCAATCGTACATTCTGGAGTTTTGAACCATAATGTTTTAAATCAATTTTATGTTTTAAAACAATTTTATTATGCTTATGGCTGAGTTACCGATTATTCTAAAAATGTTAAAAGATTTATGTTCATGGTATCAAGTTTTTGAAAACTTGTTTCAATTACAGGTGAGCTCTTGGTTTGCCAATCGCCGAACACGAACAGCAAACACCAAACCGAAGAAAAATCGAAGAAAGTTGTATCATCAAATTTATCAACTAGCCGTTGAAATTGAAGCATTGACACAGGGAGCACTTCGAGCTTGTGATTTACAAGAACGAATCGGACAAATTATTGATGAGTATTTAACTTGAATTTTCCAACCTCCCTGTTCATAACTTTTAGACATTGTTAATTCTTGTTTATAGTCAGTTTCTGTTAACTTTTTTTAAATCTCAGGGTCATTTTTGTTCTCGTTTATTTTTACTTTACTTATTTGGAATTTTTTGTTTGATTGCCAGTTGATACTTTTTCTTACTAATACATTTTTTTTGATTGAAGACTGCTTCTTTTTTACTATATTCTAGGAAAAATGTGATCACCATAAGATTATAATAGTTTTGATAGGTCACGTTTTTTATTAAATTAGCGTGTCAGAGTACTTTATGGTTACGCAAACGTTGTTTATATTAAGAGATCTACTTGTTAGGTCATATTTTTACCGGTTTTCAGTATGTGGTAGCAAGTACAGTGGATACGTGACTTGATGGTTAAATAACTTACAATCACCTTTTTGTTTACTGATGGACAATTGTTGAATATTTTAACTAGATAGGGGCTGTTCAAGTCAATTATAAGCAACCAACGGCCATTTGCTTATTTAAACAAATATTTCTAGTAGTTATTATCGACTAAAGTACTCTTGTGGTAAATAAGTTAGGTTATTCTTTGGAAAGCTTATGATAATTACGGAAACTTCTTATCCTTCCTATTTCATTTATTCGAAATAAAAGTAAAAATTACCTTCGTAATGGTCAGTTGACAGTCAGTCATATATAAAGATATATGAATAGCGTACTACTCCCCGAAGTTTATGGTAATGATGTCAACTAGTAAGACAGTGAAAACTTCATGATTAAACTACGCAACTCAGAAAATGTAACTCTACAAAACAGGATTTAGTTTTCTGTACAGTACTTTGCTTTTTCTATCACAATCGCTAACATGAGTTATCAACCCTTCACAGTGTTTGTAAAATTTATCTAAACGAACATCAAGATAGGTAAGCAGAGATGGATAGTGGCTAGCAGTGGAAGCCAGGACGCACGTTTCGTCCTATTTGGGACTCGTCAGCTGGATGTACCTGCATCTCAGATTTGATGTTCACTCTGGGACTCGAACCCAGTACCCCCGCTTCAAACGCCATCGCGTTATCCACTTGGCCACTGAGTCCTGAAGCCACTTGCTTGTGCGATGGGGTGAAGTTTGAATTCACTTAGTATTGTTTGTTTGGATCTTCCCATCGATGTGTTTAGGACTGCAACTGGTCAGTCTCTAATTGGCATATGTGCATACTGTGCGTATTGCCTCGATATACCTTAATTCACAAGCATGGTAAGCAGAGATGGATAGTGGCTAGCAGTGGAAGCCAGGACGCGCGTTTCGTCCTATTTGGGACTCGTCAGCTGGATGTACCTGCACCTCAGATTTGATGTTCACTCTGGATCCTGGATTCCACTGCTAGCCACTATTCATCTCTGCTTACCATGCTTGTGAATTAAGGTATATCGAGGCAATACGCACAATATGCACATATGCCAATTAGAGACTGACCAGTTTCAGTCCTAAACACATCGATGGGAAGATCCAAACAAACAATACTAAGTGAATTCTAACATCAAGATAGTTCTATTGTTCCCATGAGCTGGCATCCGACAGTGCTCATTTCCAAATTCAATATGACGATAACAATTATATGCTCAATGGTGATTAGATTCACAATTCGATTCCTGAAGTTTTAGTGAGAAGCCGTGACTGGTGGAGTTCATCTATGTTCGGTATGAAATAGATATCCACCTCTGGCCATGAACAAGGACTGTGCAATATCGTGAATTGATTGAAGCTACACATTAATACCGTTGGATACTGGTTTACTTTTTTGGGACTTGTGCGTTCGCGATCGTGACGGAAGGTTCAGGGTTCTTCGCCCTATGGTAGGGTCTCAAACTAGGACGCTTCATCTGTCCAGTAATTCCAGGTTTTCAGTGGTTATCTAAGCAGGACCAGTTCGTTATGTAATCTGTGGAGATTCATGATCACCACAAACCTCCTACACCCATAGTATTTAATCATTATAGCTAATGAAATTCTGCGAAATTTAACCAAATGAGTATTGAGACAAGTAGTCATTGTTTGTAAAAGCCTACTAAAAAAGTATGTTGATTATGTGAAAAATCCAAGAAAATATGATAAATATCTAGATGACTGATTCTAATAATATTTTCACCACAGATTTGAAATGTTAGTTTGGTTTCACCACTATGACGTCGGTATGATCTATATATATATGTGGAGTAAACGCAAATTATTTCTGTTAATATGTATATTATCTCATCGTAAACGTAAACTATGTTTTTAGTTATTATGCTATCATTTTACAACTAGTAAAGCAGACTTATTGTTTCGCAATTGATGATCATTCTGAAAAAAGAAATCTGTTAACTTAAGGCTGAATTAAAGTTATTTCGATTGAATTCACTTTTCATTTTAATTATTAGAACATGCATGCTCAATCGGGAAAAAGTCGTTCAGTTAGTTCAAGTACACCTATCATTGACAATTCCCATAAACGACAGAACTGTTCTGAATTAATTGTTCCTAATACCCCTGATGTTTTTATTGATTATTCAAAACACATGTGACGTGTATAAGATCAATATTTCATTGTTTTTTTCGTATTAATCTTGAATGAATCACATAATCAGTGTCTAAGTAAAAAAGGACTTATTACAGTATGAACAGAAAGGTTCAGGACTTATAATTAAATAACCTTTTATCAGCCTTACGAACCCTAACAGCTTTATTGATTACGTTTCTTTGAATGAAATGAACTAGTGATGACTTGTCACATATAATAACTAGCCTTGACAACAATAAATAAGGCAAAATATGTAGTGGATTAGTCTATTATTAATTTTATTCGACATCAGATGTCAAAACGTTTAATAAACAATCGTGAATGCTCATCATTCATTACATAACATTCGCTAATGAATAAAATAGTTACGTAATAAAGTGGTGAGCTGAGAGATTTTAATCACGGTATTCAATGTGCATTTTTAAGACTTACAGTCAAACAGTTAATATACCTCGAAATCTCTACGTAATATATTTATGAAAGACAATACTAAAAATTGAAATTCAGATCTAACAGTTTGCGTTTGCCTAATCAAGATAGACTATATTTGGGTATACATAAACAAGGAGTCTCTAGTTCTTAAGCAACTGGTGTGACTCTTCTGTATGAGACAGGCGGTGGCATAAATAGTTTCGTGTTTAACTTTCTGACTGTAACAGTGTGATGAAACATGAGAATTTATCAAGGAATAACAGTTCTCCGTGAGAATACAGATAGGTCTTTATGATGAGACATAAATCATCAAAACAGTTAATAGTAAGATCAATCTGAACCTTCATGTCAAGTAATCATGGTTATTGACTGCACTGTGCATTGATCAAGCGGATTTTGTTAACACCAATTTCTAAAAAATATAACATTCGTAACTAGCACGTGATTATTTGGTGCGAATTCATTTTCTTTTCCAGAAATTTGAACAGGGATGGTTAAATGAGTTACACGTGATGAATTGTTAAAAGTGTATCAAGCCTGGAACTATAACACTTGTTTATCACCTGTTTCTATTTAATACAACTCCGTAATCAGTTATAGTTTGTAAATTCACAAATTATGCAGATGAAGTCTTTTTTCGTATTTTATCAGTTTGAGGTAACTGATCTCATTTATGATTGTTGACTTTGCAATAGAACGTACGTGTGTGTTGGAGGTGAAAGAAGTTTAATGATAGTTTAACAGCAAGTAACTTTTATAAATATTTAATCATATGTCCGCCTTTGCTAACTGTAAATTAAACTGAAGAGCTACATTGACTATTGGGTTGATCGCTATACTGAAAAACGAATAATGACTTCTAGAGAACGACAATTATCTATTCATGATATTAATGACCATTGCATAAGAAACCTCAAGCTTTCAGTTTGGAATCCACAAAACAAATGTGGACTATGGTTAACGGTGTCAAATGATATTGTACACAGTTTGTCCTAGTAGTAGTGACACATTCATTTACCCTTTTCTTCAAATTGTTGTTCATCGGGTCATTCCATACTTTAATCTTCTCGATGGCATACTTTTATTTCCATTATTGTTAATTTCCTCACTAAGATCAGTATCACTATTTTCAATTCTTCCTAGACTTAACTGAAAGGGTTACTGATTTTTGCTATACATATTTCTACTTTAATAACTCTAATTGCCATAAATCTCTTAGTTAATGATTTATTTTTTTTATCAGTGAGAAATGTCAACTAAATATATTTATTGAACACTGAGGAACGGCTGGATAATTTCAGACAATTCGGTGATTGACTATCAGTTATATATATTTCAGTGAAGCATTTTCAAATACAACAAATGGTTAAACAAGAATTAACGTTTCCATTATCAAACCTTAATTATCAAAACATTGGTTTCATTATAGATTAACTCTCATTGTTAAAATGAAATCAAAACGTTTAGAATTTAACTAATTAACCTGAAAATATATTGTTAATTTCATTACCTAATGTAGAATACAAAGAATTATAAGCCAAATACAAACCACTTGTCTTTTTTCAGTTTAAACTCAGTTTACATTAGAGATCAGTTATGATTTACAAAACAGTATGTTTACGAAGAATATATTGTTATTACTGACGTAATTGTTTCGCAAATGTGGTCAAACCTAGTGTTGATAAATGCAAATGCTGAAATCGTTTTGAACACTTCTGAAAAAAAGTTCAAACCAGATATCAGAAAATAATTTAGTCATCGAGATACAACTATTATTTCAAAAATGGCATTCAATGTAATGCTCGAAAACAATAATTCCCTACAGTTATTTTAACAGTTTACAAATAATGTGTTGAAATGAAAACAAAATAAAATCTTCATGGAAAAATAATGAAAGCATGTGAAAACATAAATATACGCATTGTTTTAACTTCGAACTGTCCAGTTCATATCCAAAAGTCAAAATTTATTGAATTCACTCATTTTGTGACTCAACGTGAAGATCAATCAGTGTTGCCAGAAATA